TTTGTTGTGATTTGGCGCTATATAAATAAAATTGAATTGAATTGAATTGAATTGAATTCCTGCTGCATCACTATCTACCTTTGTAGGGTTCTGTAAAGCATGTTAATGTTTTCTGCTGATGTGTAATGTGAAAGATGATTTCACATGAAAATAAGTTTTTCAGTTAGGAAACAGGCAAGTAATCTTTTCCATCTCTTATGTGCCATTTAAAATGATCACACAAAATGTACAAATCATGAGATGTATGCTGGCATCCCTCAACCTCACAAATCACTGCATCCATATGAGTAGGTGTACAGCTCAATGAAGATTTTTTTGACTGTGTGTGCTTGGAGTGCATGTGCAATGTAAGTGCAGCAAGTGTTCAAAAACTGCATGGACAATTCATTAAGCCACAACCAAACATGGGTGAACATAGGTTCCAATGGATTTTGATATGGTGATAAAATCTAGTCAGTGTCCGCGTTGATACATTGCACTGTTTGTACACAAATGGCGTGACCATTTTAATAGTTGTAATTAACTTCTGACATGAGCAATATTAACCTTGTGACATATGTAATATCATTTAATACTAGACATAAAGGCATATGGGTTTAAACTTAACGTTAAATGCTAATGTTAGTCATGTGACAAGCATTAGAAGAGTGTTAATTATACCACACGTTAGGAAGATGGTGAGGGGGAATGAAGATAAAAACTTTATTTTTAAGTTTGCTTTTATTCTAAAGTTACTAAATACTGATCCCCCCAACCAAACTTAGTAGGCAAGGAACATATATGCACCTTAGATTTGTCGTTTCGCATAGGTTGACTTCAGTTAATTTAGTTACAACAGCTTACTCACCTGCTGAGGTTTCACAACAGTTCCAAACCAAACCTAATCCAGATACCAGGCACAAAAGGCTCCAGTGAACACCTCACAAATAGTGACTCGGGCCAAAAGCTTTAAGAAAGAAGATATAAAACAAAGCTTTTCCAAATACAATATACTATATACTATATTTCTAATAAAAAATTTTTTCTATTACAGACATTTCTGGGGGAGGGTTACAGCTACAGTTTATAAAAAAAAAAAACACACACAAAACAAATAAACACAAAAACTGGAGAGTCTGGGCAATGAGCTACCACAAGTTTTTCTGTCACTCTACACATTTATTTCTTACGATTTAAGTCCAACGAGTCGTGCTGACAGCTTTCTTTGTTTTTTACAGCAGCTTTTTCTTTATCATGTAGAATAACAGTCAAATATGTAACTTCTATACACTGACAGAATGGAGAATTTACTGGTCTGGCTGCTTAAGATCAAAGTGGGCTGTATGTTACCCACAACTAAAATGAGTTTGACACCAACGGTATATGATATATTGCTAAGAAGCATTATTATAACAAACAAGTAACCAAATACAAATTCTTTGCTTTATGTTTTAAGTTTATATGTAGCAATTCCACATTTGTATGCATATATTTTCATTAT